ATAAGTAATCGACAATAAACGTTCATATTGTTCTTCACAAACTCTCTCAGTGTGCGTGTGAGAGCAGCGGAGGTGAGAGTGTTGTTTGTGATTGTTGTGTAATAAGGCTCCACATCATCACTCAACCACTTTTTTCTTATTAAAAAAAACAACCTCCTTAATTATTATACAAAAATGGCTTCTCTTCCATGGACTGCTTGGGTTCAAGGTGCTTTGTTGGCTCCTCTTGCTCAATCTGGTGCTTCTGCTGTCTTGTTGATGGGTGCTGATGGAAGTATGTGGGGTTTGGCTGGTCAATGGAATGTTTCTGCTCAAGAAGCTGCCACTTTGGCTAATGCTATTAAGACTAGTGCTGGTGCTCCAATTTCTTGCACTTTGGGTGGTGTTAAATTCATGGGTATGAGAGCTGATGACTCTGAATTTGTCTCCAATTCTACTCAAAAGACTTGTGTCTGTGGTCATATGTTGAAGAAGACCACCATTGTCGTTTGGGGTGCTTTGGACCATGCCAGAAATATCAATGCTGCTGTCAGTAAGGTTGCTGAAGCTTTGGCTCAAGACCCATCTGTTGCTTCCCTCTTGAACTAAATTGTATAAAACAAAAATTTCAAAAAAAATAACAAATTCCCGAAAAATGACATTTTATTCATCCTCATCACTTTCTTTGTTCCGATTACGAGCTAAATAATTATTAATTTCATCTAATATTGGATCTAATATTTGTGTTAATTAACCAGAAGTCTGATCGTATATTGTTGCAATAAAAACTCTTCCGATCTTTTTTATCTTACAAGAATCATCATGCTAAAATTTAGAATATTTAAATTATTAATCAATACATTACATTAAACAACAACAAACTTTCGGAACCAATTTCTTTATTGATTTGCAACATTTTAATATATAATGTATGAATATTGTATTAAAAATTACAAATTCAATTCAATCCGTAAAATATTCCTAATAAATATATTAAAAAAATTAAATCCATCAAATATTATTATTAACTTGAATATTGAATAAAACGAGAAACAAAATTTCGGAAATAATTTCTTTAATGATTTGCATCATTTTAATATATAATTTATTATTAGTTGAGTTGAAATCACAAATTTCATTCAATCCGTAAAATATTCCTAATAAATATATTAAAAAAAATTAAATCCATCAAATATTATTTTTAAACTAAAAAAAGAATACATTAATTTTAAAAGTTTCGGAATTAATTTCTTTAATGATTTGCAACATTTTAATATATAATTTATTATTAGTTGAGTTGAAATCACAAATTTCATTCATTCCGTAAAATATTCCTAATAAATATATTAAAAAAAATTAAATCCATCAAATATTATTATTAACTTGAATATTGAATAAAACGAGAAACAAAATTTCGGAAATAATTTCTTTGATGATTTGCAACAATGTAATATTGTTAATTATTATATTGGATTTAAAATTACAAATTTCCATGATGCTTGTTTCAATAAGAATCATTTCTGAAAAAAATGAATGAAGACAATCAAGAAGTAGTGAGTGAAGACAGTCAAGAAGTTATGTCTGAAGAAGAACAATCAATCCAGCCAAATCCACCATCCAATAACAAAAATTCGGATGAGAAAATCGGATCATCTGTGTTTGTAGTAGGAGTTTCTTCTGATGATATAGATAATTTACTAGAAATTCCTTTTGAAAAGTTGATAGAAGTTGATCAAACAACTGATAAAGCAAAGGACTTCAAGATGAAAATAGATAATTTGAACAAAATAACAACTCCAGAGAAAGAAACGCAAGATGAAGAGCAATCATCAACTTCCATATTACCAACAGAAGAACAATTAACCGATGAAGAAACAGCAAGCAACTCAATTACAACAAAACAGGCAACAAAAAAACAAGCTAACAAAAGAGGAAGAAAGAAGAAAGAAGAGAAACCAGCAACAGAACTAAGAAGATCACACAGGTTACAAAAAAAACAAGTAAATTACGAAGAGGATGAGGATGATGATGATGTTGAAGAAGAACCAGAACCCCAAACAAAGAAAACAAAACCAAATACTGAAGAAAAGAAAAATTTAAATTCTAAAATTAATGATTACATTGAACCTGTTCAGAAATCAACATTTGCAAGTGCAAGTGGTAGTAATAATTCTAATAGTAATAATAATATTAATTCCAATAATAACAATTATAATAATAATTTTAATAATTTAATTAATAATAATTGTAATAATTATAATTGTAATTTGAACAATAACAATTTAAATAATAATTGCAATAATTTAAATAATAATTTCAATAATAATTGCTATAGTTTTAATAATAATTTAAATAATTTTAATAATAATTATAATAATTGTAATAACAATATTTATAATAATTTTAATAATAATAATTTTAATAATAATTTAAATTATAATTCAAATAATAATAATAATAATTGTAATAATAATTTAAATAATAATAATTTAGATAATAGTAATAATTATTCAGATAATAATTATAACAACAATTTTAATAATCATTTTAATAATCATTTTAATAATCATAATTACAATTATTATAATAACAATAATAATAATTTTAATAATAATCACAGAAATATCAATAATAATTATAATAATAATTTTAATAATAATTTTAATAATAATTATAGAAATTCTATAATATATAATAATAATATTAATAATAATAACAACGATAATTATTATTTTAATAATAATTTTCCTCATTATTATACTAATGAGTTTAATAATAATATGATCAGGCCAATTAATTTCAATCCAATTAATAATGGAATTAGTGAAAAATATTTAGATGATCTTTTATTTCGTTTATTAAATGATGCCACAATAGAATCCACAATCAAAACTACAATAAGCAAACTTCTTTCCACAAAAATAGAAGATTCAATAAGCAACAATTTTACAAAATTATTAGCAACTCCTAACAATAATTTGCCTATTAATTCACGCAATCATTATTCTATCCTTTCCGATGCTATTTTGTTGTGTAATAATAATAATAACAAACAAATTATTATGCAGCTTTTGATGAAAATTTTAAGAGAACAACAATAAAAAATGACCACAGAATGCGAAATTTTTTTTGAAATTTTTGTTATAAATATAGTGTATTATTATACTTTTCATTGTATTTAACTTGGATTGTTTTGTCTTGAATTTAACACAAAAGATCACTTGTTATCATTAAGCATGTGATCAAAATATTTAATAGATATTAAGCTAATTGTGTGATGGTGGTCTCATAATTTGAACATGAACAGTAGATCTTTCTTCATAATCACCTGGATCATTTTCAAACATTGGTGGATACTTCCTCTGGAATCCATATTCCACTTTGAATCCTCTCTCTGTGGCCAATTTAAATAAATTCATATCTTCCTTAATCAACCAAGGTCGGTGATGTCTAAATATTATTAAAATTATTATTTAATTATTATTAATAATAATATTATACAATAAGTACTATTTGAAATTAACAATTACTTACGAATATCCGACATAAATCAAAGTATTAGGATGTGACAAATATTCACAACTGTCCAACAATTGAGAATGACAAAAATGATTGAACAACAAGTCACTCAACAGAATGATATCAAAAGTTTCCTTCTCCTCTCCTTTTCCGAATGTTTGTTCTAATTTTTCACCCCAAGCATGTCCTCTCACTTCCATCACAGTGTTATCTTCATCAAAATTCAATGCAACATTCCTCTTGAGATTTGGAATTAAATCTCCATCATCAATATCGGTAATAATAACCTTCTTGGCTCCGAGTTTGCCACAAGCTAAACTTGGAA